ATGTAATTTGTTTCGATTTATCGTGGTTTACTCGAATTTCCTGCAATTTATACCAGTTTTGTAATTTATCTAAGTGATGTTGTAACATTAGCGAAGCTGTATTTTGTGAGAATTAATTTGTCATAAGCATAAGTAAGAGCCAATGTCAAATTATTAATATTTATGAACCTTGGGAGTACTCCCGCCAAAAGTGAACAAATATAAGAAATTCCCTAGCCTTGCAGAATTGAGAAAAATCTCTCGAAAAGAATTATTCGGTTTCTCTCATTAACGTTAATGTTTAGGGTTTAAAATGCAGTGCCTATTATCTTCATTTTTTTTTTGTGTGTGTGTGTGTCAATCCCTTCCTCGCATTTTGGACTATAAGGGGATTTCCCAGGCCTGGAGGGGAGGGCGGGGGATTAATGCCAGAATTAAAATCCTCCCTTAGTACCGGGACGAGAACTCGATATGTGTACACGCGTTATCCCGCTCGGCCACCCCTCCTCCCTCCCGTCCTCTGCAGCGCCTTTAACTTATGATAGAAATTAGAATTTTTCACGGAATTTCCTTCATATATTTATTAAAATTCATCGCTCCTGAGATATTAAAAAGATTCTGAAGATCCTGAATATACTGTATACTTTATATTGATCGTTAGACACAAAATGACTCATGTTAATTTGTATATCCATAGCAACGCACATCATTAACTTTATATCACTTTCCGCTGACACCTCTTCCTATCTCAATATTAATGAGAATGAATGAATAAATTCAATGAATGAACCAGCGGAATGAAGGGGAACCCTTTGGTAAGCTCTTACAAAGGAAGAATAGTCTAGCTCAAAGCTACCGTATCAGCTCGCTACATTAACTGCCGGTCACTCCTTGTCACTCCATGTATAAACCTGTATATGTGTATATACATAGACACAAAAAATAGGAGTCAGGTAAGGACATAAAAAGCTAATCCATCATATAGATCTTCTTGGCGGGTGTCGCTCTCCTGATTAATGCCCCCCCCCCCGTCTATATATATAATAGGTCGGTAGACGTGTAATCACCGGTTAGTCTTCGATATGGTATAATTTAAGGACCTTTAATACACTTTTATAATGTATATTATTATTATGTATATATTTTTGTTTAACTTTATATATACTTGCTCGAATACAATAGCTGGTTAATTGAGTAGGAGAGACTAGGAATGTTGCCCATTTTAATTTTTAAATAGAAAAAAATGAAAACATGAAGAATTGAAGACCATAATATTAAAAGTTCATATTTGTTTATGGTATTATTATCTAATCCAAGGCAAGTTGACTCATAGAAGATTTTTGGGATAATCGACTTGGCCATGGCTAAAATGCCCATCAGGAAGCGACTGAAAATAATCTGGATGAGAGATCACCTTTTCCAAATTGTTGCTGGATACAACTCTTCCTTATGCCTAAACTACTGTTTTTCAGATAGTTACAACACTTTTGATTATTTTTGCGTTCATGACTTGTGTATAGGAAGATTTGATGAAACAACAAACATGAAGGTAATGGAGAATGACAAAAAGCTAATGATTTTTAATTCTTCAAGTTAATAATAAATAATAAAGTGATACTTTAGAGTCTTTGGGGCTTATATTAAATTTTGATGACAAGATTGCTGTCTCGTCTGTGTAAGGTCAGAGGTATCGAAGCTGTCTGGAATATCATGTATGTAAATGATACATTATTTTTCCAACCTCCCGAAACGTTTAAGTAAATGATACATAACAGAGAATTAACTTTTTTAAAAAATTTATTTCTAGTTCAAGGGGAAGGTAAGTCAGTATTCTTTGATGCATCTTACCAGATTTTTTGTATTTCTCAAATAAATATAAAACAATAAATTTACAGTAATATTCAACATACTCATTTTAAATATACTTACTAAATGTCTTACAAAACTTAAATTTTGTCTGAAATCGTTAGGAATGACGTGTGAGTGGAAACAAGATATTTCTTATATTGATTTGTATGTAGTAAGATACTTAAATTATTGAGGATGGAAATGGTCAACAAGAGCAGTTAAAAAAAAATTATCTTTACTGATATGGCTAACGTTTCGACCCTTACGTGTGTCACCATCATGGTTAGAAATTAAAAAATACAAAATTACATCAGAAAAATAATAAATATAAAAGTATAAGAAAAGAAAAAAGAAAAAAGTGAAACGCAGACATGAGATAACAATAATATAAACATAACAATAATAAAAACATTACTGTATGCTAAGAAAGTTTGTGTTATACAGAAATAAAAAAGATAAGTATTTCTAAAGTAAAAATAAATAATTAGTATATATAAAACAATTAAATAAATAAGAAGTAACCAAAAAACAATGTTTTGAAAGAAACTTTTACAATTGATAAAAACAACGTAGAAATAGATATTAAAAAATATCTCCGACAGGACTAGCAATTTTTTTCCCGAGTGATTTTGTATTTTTCAAATTTTAGCTTCGATAATGCCTGTTTGGATCGAAACGTCATTAAACAACTGTTTTGTCTGCACATTCTGTCTATTTTCCATCCTTACAATTTGAACTACCAACTTCTGTTTTGCCCCTTCATTAGGTAAACTTGCCGACCCGCAATGTTGTTGGGCAATGCGCTATGATATCTCAAACTGATGAAGGGGCAAATCAGAAATAATGATTTTTATTCTCTTCTTATAGAATTAATTATTGATTGTGATGTCGATAATTACAATGAATTTTTAATTATCTCAAAACACACTTAGGCTTTTAAACTGGATAATTATTTTTTCAGATACTAAACAAATAAATTGTCTTAATATCTAAACAATAATAGTATTGATTAAATAAGTTCGGCCACAATTCCTTATTTTTATTTAAAATGCTTTGTTTTTTCAACTATCTTACCCAATACTTTTTCCTTAGTTCCGTATGACTGTAAGATGTTAATATAAAATCCTTTAAATAAATATAATAACCTAACAAGCCGCCTAGCTAGTGTGCTGCCGGGAATTTAAACATATTTTGTAATTAACTAAACTATAAAATATTCTGTTATAAACAATAAATTAAAAATTATAAAAAGTATATGAATTCGGAATCGATGTAACATAATACGTTTTATTTCAATTTATATTGCCTCTAACAAATATTCTTTCCTCATTTCATTTGAAGTGGTTTCCCATAAAAGTAATTAAGTGAAATGGCATTTTGTATTAACAAACAGTTTTACTTTGCGGTATGATTTCCCTATAGAAAACATTTTATTAAATTCTCACGAACATTAATCTTCATTTTATTGTCGGTTTTTTTGTATAATATGCAATAATATTAATTTCCTATTTATCAGGATACCGTAGATTAAAAGAGATTTTAGAAAGTGACTTTTTTAACCATAATGCATTGGAGGGTGCAACGATATGAAATACACCCGATAAACCTAATGCCATTTTTTCGTTTGTGGCGCCCTCTCTCAACATCCACTGGCTCTTACTGTCAATAAAGCGTTTGAGAAGGAAACGTTGGGATCTCCTGGATCCTTACTTTTGGAGAAACCTGGTTCGGAGTTCACCTTGCTGACTTTTATTGTACTCTTGAAGTTTTTTTTCAATTTATTTTTATTTATGAAATTTTTTTTTTCTCATTTTTATGTATTATAATGTTATTTTTTTTATTTAAGCGTGTTTTCTTTATAAATTGAATTTTCTCTCAGCCAAACTCCTCCCTCTGTCGGTTCCTTCACTTCTCCCTGTCTATCATTTGCTTCTCCTACCCTCGGTCTCCAACTCAAATGCCGTTTTGGGAAGTCGTTTGCTATTCATCCTTTTCATATGACATACCACTGTAGTCTTCATTTTTCCAATATTTCTAATATATTATTTTTGATTTCCATTATTTCTCTAATGGTCTCATTTCTCATTCTTTGCGTCCTTGAGACTCTATCCGACCTCCTCCAAAAATCCACAGCTAGAAATCTTTTGCTCTATGATTTCACGAGCGGCCACGTTTCTGAATTATTGAGTTACCAGGGCCTTATATATTAATTTTTTATATTATATAATTTTATTTTTTATGTAAAAATATTTTCGCTCTAGAGAGCTGAATTAATAATACCAACGGTTTTCCCTGCTAATGTTATTTAATTTATTAATATACCTAGTCCTGTCATAAATATTGTTGCAAGAAAATATATATACATATTTCAACAGAAAAATTATTTTTTTCAAAAACTCTTTAGAAAATAAAATGTATATCTGTAGAGAGTAAAACAAAAAAGAAATTACTCAAAATCTCCCCTCCCCTTTTTCCTTGACACACACATTTAATCTCCGTGGCCAGTCATCAACAGCAGCACGCAGCACTTCTTGAGGAAAGCGCTCAACTGCTTGGACCAGAGATTGTTTGAGGCTTTCCAAGTTAGGGTGTGCTCTGTGGCATGCCATCCTCTCCAGTTCGGACCGATAATCTAGTGGGTTGAGATCAGGGCTTCCTGAGGACCATATGTAAAGGCAGAGATGAACTCTGGAATGTTTTTTTGCAGCCACTGATGAGTTGACCTGCTATTGTGAGCTGGAGCGGAATCCTGCTGGAAAACACAATGACTTCCAGCAAACAGAGTATCATTTAGAGGCTTGACAACAGGTTACAAAATATCGTCCTGGTAGTTTTTAAAAATGGAGCTTTGTGGTCTCATCAAAGAAAATTTCCCACCAAACCATTTGAACGAGGAAGGGTGATATGACCTCTTTCCACTCTTCGGATGCCTTCCTGTGTTTTTAATTAGTTTTTAAATTTTTCTTCAATTGTAAATATTTTCTCATCGCTAAACAAAATCTTCCGATGAAGACCATTGGTGTATCGGCCAAGGAGCACTTTTCATCTATCAACTCTATTTTTTTTTAGGGATGTGGTTAGCCTTTGTCCTGTCTTTCTTCGAAATGCAGCCATCCTAAGGTCACTTTTAATATGTGAAACATCTATCTTACAGAGATTCGCATTTTTGAGATATGATTTGTTGTTTTCGAATGGGATTCCTTCTGATTCGAGCAGCTACTGCTCCCACTGCATTTGCTGTTCTCACAGTGCGGGGAACTAGAGAAGCCGGGGGCCCTGTAGCAAATGCAGTGAGAGCAGTGGCTGCTCGATTCAGAAGGAATCCCATTCGAAAACAACAAATCATATCTCAAAAATGCGAATCTCTGTAAGATAGATGTTTCACATATTAAAAGTGACCTTAGGATTGGTGCATTTCGAAGAAATACAGGACAAAGGCTAACCACATCCCTAAAAAAAATTAGAGTTGATAGATGTAAAGTGCTCCTTGGTCGATACACCAATGGTCTTCATCGGAAGAATTTGTTTAGCGATGAGAAAATATTTACAATTGAAGAGAAATTTATTCACCGGTCGAGGTCTGTCACATAGGATCTCATTATATCTATTTATAGTGATACACGGACATACGGCTGATATCCGAAGGTTTCAAAGTGTTTAAAATCACTGACTTACATTTTCCAACTTTGTGTAAAGCGTTCACAGTTATTCGATTTTCTTTATCATGCCACTTCATGTTAACTGAGCGAAAGAAAAATACAAACTAATTGGAATTATCATCCTGACATGTAAAGAAAATAACCTGATAGGGGTAAGGATTATCTAAATAATACCCAACAATGTAAACAAAGTTTAACTTTTATAACAGTATTTATGGCAGAATTAGGTATATATAGTTATAAAATATGATGTGAATGTGCTGTTTCATCAGTATTATAATTGTCCTTAATTGATACAGAATGTAATATTTTTCAATAAAAGCAGTTTTGGAACCCCCATATCAGACTGTAACGACTAGAAACCGCCCGACATTTTCGAATGCAGCACTTACTAGAAAAACGCTCTAAACTTCCAACTATTTACAAAAGACTTTATATATATATTACTATAATAAGGCCTATTTGGACTTACCTGATCGAGGTTTGCGGCCCTACTAAACCATCAAATTCCTCTCGTATCCAATCTATACAATCCAAAATCCTTCGTAAAATCCTCAATGCTCCCTACTTTGTCACAAATAATCCATAGCGACCTTAATGTACCATATGTTTCCGATTTAGCTCAATCCAGATACCTATCCTTATATAATAAGCTTCTGAACCATCCAAACCCTCTTGTTTCCAACCTTGCTCTTATATTCCTGATAACCCTCCGAGGCGCCTGAAAAGAGGATTGCCTCGGGACCTTCTAATATAGAAATATAATTGAAGTGCAACCAATGGGTAGTTTCTCTTCATGTTGTACATGTCAAGTTACTTATTTCATATTCTGGATATTGTCCAGGCATTTGATAAATTTGACTTCTCTTTAAACTCAAATCTATCCTGCCTAATACATACTATCTCATTCTTCAGTCTTTCCTTTTCGACAGATTCTTCTCTGTCCGACAGGGTTTAGAAATTTCCTCAATTCGACCAATATCATTAGGGGTGCCTCAAGGATCAATATTGGCACCTTTACTCTACATTGTCTACACTCATGACATGCCTACCAACTCTGAAACATTGACTGCTACTTACGCTGACGATACAGCAATTTTAACAAAACACGACGACCCCAGACTAGCCTCATTAAATTTCCAAAATCACTTACTAAATTTACAAAATTGGTATTCACTTTGGAAAATTATATTAAATCACAACACATAACATTTACGCTTCAACGAGAAACATGCCCACCAGTTCATATCAGCAACAATCCAATTCCTCAGACGGACACTATGCGCTACCTCGGATTAATATTCGACAGAAGGATGACCTGGGCCACACGTCAAAATGAAAAGAAAGACTTTGAAAAAGCGACTGAAAATACTATACTCCCTGTTTCTTAAATCAAAATTGAAAATTAGACAAAAACTAAATACATAAACTTACCTGCTCAAACCCATTTGGATATACGCCTCACAGATTTACGCTTCAGCAAAAAAGACCCACTTACAAAAACTACAATCCTTTCAATCTAAAATTTTAAGACTAATAACTGCAGCTCCCTGGTACGTCAACAACAAGACTTTACATACCGACCTAAGACAACCAACCATTGACCAGCACATACGTACTCTTTATTCCCGATTTCATCTTTAACTACACGGAAATCACAATGGACTTATCAACGACATGGCCACGGCTGAAATGCTCATCAGGAGGCGACTGAAAAGGAACTGGATGAGAGATCTACTTTCCTGATTTTAGGATGTAAACAGACCAGGGAAGAGGTGCTGCTGGGTTCCATTCTTCGTCATGCCTATCATGCCATTTTCTACCTGTAAATCTGCTAATTGTCACTACCATGAGAGGTGCCGATGAAAAATTGAAGACAAAAAAAAAAATATTTAATAGTTGTATTTATCATTATACAGTTGTAAATTTCATTCAATAATAATAAAAAAAAAGCAATTTGAATAAATCTTTTCATAATTACGAAAATACATCAGAACTTTTTTATTTTGCAGAGCACGCGTGCAAGGAGTTCAGGTGCACGTTGAAGGAGTTCTGCATCGCCAGCGACCTGGTCTGCGATGGGATCAACCATTGCGCCGACGGCTCGGACGAACTCATGTCATCTCAGTGCGCCAGTGAGTACATATTATTATATAGAGATGTTTTTAGCCCCAAATACTTAGGTCGAAACGTCGGCAATCCTAATAATTGCAAATCCTTCCTATTTATCATAATTATTATTATTATTATTATTATTCTGTTTGCTAATATAGCAATCTATGTTTCGTTTTTTGTACTTCCTAGGAGGTAGCGAAATGGGGACCATCTTGGGCGTGAGCATGACGCTGTTCGTGATCGGGTTCGTCTCCTCGGTGCTCATCCTCTGCGTGCTCCTCGTCGGCCTCTCGATATGCCTCTGCCGCCGTCCGCCCCTACAGAGGAGCACCACCACCCTACCCCGTGAGTACACCTCTACATATATATTATATATTTAAATATATAATATACTATATATATATAATTTTATATATTAACTAACTATATGTTTATCATTAAATTAAATAAATGAACACTTGAAGAGAAGTCAACTGGTTTTATCACAAACTACACTTGAAGATTACACAAAATCTTTATAGGATGTCCTGTAATTAGAGGAAAATATTTTTAGGAATGATAGTTGTTAAGGCCACTCACTATAGCCCTTAAATAGCGCACACCAGTGGCTCCATCTATTGGCCATTATGACAGTGCCATCTACTGGCAAGCTGAAGAAGTTTAGCCCTGCCTGGTGACCTGGGACCAGCAGGGACAAAGTACAACTCCATAGCGAGTCTGAGTCTGAGACTGCCTGCAAAATGGCCTCCATTACCAAGCATGTTAATATAAATTCTGCACATGGTACATTAACAGAATATGCCAGACCACAATACTCACCCAGACGTATTCTCTGAATCATGCCTCTCAATGGAGAATTCAATGTCATCATCAACCAGCCAGCATCTTCATTTATCTGGTCAGCCCATATTAACCAATAGTTCACTAACACAATAATCCAAATGTACATCTTAGAGCACAGGCGGATTTACGGGGGAGGCTTTCGGGCTGAAGCCCCCTCCCCAAAAATGGTAAAATGTAACCATGTTTTATGGTAAAAAATATTAAAAAATTATGTCTTAAAGTATTATTGCTATTTCAATTACATATAATAGGACTTCAAGAATCACTGAAACATCATTTCATATAGGTACTTAATTTATTTCTTTTTTTTCAAATTAGTTATCGTTATTTTTATGAAAAAAAAACTTCCAGGCTGAAGCTCCCCCCAAAATTAAATCCTTGGATTCAAAATTAAATTGGATCCGCTAGTGTCTTAGACCCCATCAACCGCTGTCTATTTCAATCTATCAATATATTTTATGTTAAACCTCATTTTACTCTTTTCACATTCCGCATGAACACCCCCTTCTGATCAAGTAATTAGCATCCAGGTTTGCTTCCCCCTACTTCGGGATTGGGGAAGGCCTGATGCCCCAATACAATAGTAGATTTCAAAAGCTACAAAAAAGTTCATTTAAACAATGGAATAATTTTAAGCATAAACGTAGGAAATCCAAGCTTTGTACTTTTTTATGCAAGTCATGTTTTTCTTTGAATAGAAAATTATAACTAAAAATATTTAATGTAAGTAATTAAAACCTACTTCGCCATTAAGTTGACAAAATTTACTTTAAATGAGAGTAGAGTTTGTCATTGTTAAAAACATTTGAAGTAGAATTTTGAGTGAAGGAATTGAACCTTATTTATAAATTACTGAGAATAAGAACTTACCAGGAAATACTCAAGCCAACCACTATAGAATAATTTAGAATTTTTTTTTTCATCTCAAATATATGTAATTATTATAGAGATTTCGAGGTACAAACCTTTACAACAAAACTTTACATAACGACTTACGACAACCAACTATCGACCAACACATACCTACTCTCTACTCTCGTTTTCATCTCAAACTACACGGACACACAAACAGACTTATAAACGACAATTCTACGACTGACATGCCCATTAGGAGGAGACTAAAAAGGAGCTGGATGGGAGATCTCCTCACCTAAGTCAAGGAAGTAAATGAAGAGATGCTGCTGGGTACTATCCTTCCTCATGCCTTTAATTTCAGTCCTTATTTTATCACAACACCTCTGCTGATTGTCAATACCATGACAGGTGCGGATAAATAGTTGAAGATAAAAAAAAAAGTTTGTCAGCATGGATTTTTTTGGGTCTTGTTCTCTTATTTGTTTCTTTGTTTATAAGAATATTCTTGTAATTTAATTTTAGTATGCGTATAATATATTTTTTTTTCTTTTACTGTTTATCCGCACCTGTCATAGTATTGACAATAAGCAGATGTGATCTCATTGTGAAGGAAATTGCCATTTAAGAAATGAGGAAGATTAGTACCCAGCAGCACCTCTTCCTGGTCTTGGTCTACTTAATAATTTAGGAAAGAGATCTCTCATCCAGCTCCTCTTTAGTCGTCTCCTGATGAGCATATGAGCTGTGGCTATGTCGTTGATAAGTCCGTTGTGATGTCCGTGTAGTTTAAGATTAAATCGGGAGTAGAGAATACGTATGTGTTGGTCGATAGTTGGTTGTTGTTAGTTGGTTACATTTTTTTTCATCATTACTTAAAAATATCATTACTTCAGTAACATATTCATAAATCAAAATTCAAAACAAAGGATTTGCAGTTAAACATAAAAACATCTAGAGACAAAATCTTTGCTCCCTATTGTCCAATTTTAACGATTTGTTTTTTAGGAAATTTCGCAAACTTTTAAAAAAACATACAATATCGACAAAAAAGTGTATAGTTTTTGAGTTATTCGGAATCTTATTTTACCATCCTCATAACTTTTTTTTTCAGCTTCTTTTCGATGAAGTATGTTATATAGATAAATTTAAAGGGCATAAAGAAGAAGTCCAGTTTCATTGAAATCGGTACATTCGTTTAGGCCTTACAATCTACAGCAACGCAGGTTTTCGGCCGCAATTTTGAACGTAAAAGGTGAAGAGTAATGTCGATGAAGGAGGATCATCCTCGGGCGACCTTTGATTTTAAATCGAAATTTGAAAAAATTCAGTCCAGTAGTTTCGGAGAAAGTTTTTGAATTTTTTGTTCGTTATATTGAAAATAATAAACCAAAAGCATTCATCCGTTATATTTAAAAAATAAATACATATTTTTTAAAACTTTTTTATTATATATTAATTCGCAGTACAGACCCCTCTCCTTTTCATCAAATTATTAACACCCGCTTAAAACGTCGTGAATCGCTTCATCTCGTCGTAACCTTAAACTCTTTTATTTACGATAATTCGTGGAATTTGATTATTTTCATCTGGAGATCGGCAAACTTCTTAGAAATAAACTCTGTTTCTGTAGGGAAAAAGAAAAAAAAAAATGAAAACGAATCAGATAATAAAAATTGTCTAAGTATTTAAGTGATGCATTATATGTTGCTACATCATTATGAATAATATATAATTACATCATAAAAGGTTAGCGGATATCTGACTGTTTTTGGGACAGGAATTGGAATAGGAGGGTTTTAAATGTAGATAGGATGGGGGAATAACGAATTTTGATAGGAAGGGAATTCCAGAAATTATTAGAGCGAGCAATAAAGAAATTTTGGAATGAGGCAGATCTGTTAGAAGGGGTGTTAAGGTCGGAAGGTTGAGATCTTGTGGAAAGGGAGTGGACTAAGGACTTGAATTGGAGAAGGTTGTAGGCATAAGAATGACGATTATTGTTGACGATTTGATAGAGTAACGTAGCTAGGAAATATTGTCTTCGAATGGATTTTTATATTAATTTAATCGAACATCGAAACAGATTAATAAGAGACAAGGCTACAACTGACATCCCAGACCATGAGTAAAAAGATGTTGGGTGAGAGATCTCCTTCCTTAAACAACCTTAGCAAATGAAACACATCAGGGAAGAGGGGCTGCTGAGTACTTTCCTTCCCCATGCCTGCCATGTCATTTATATCTTGCAGCACATTTTTTCATTGTTAACAAAAAGTTAATAGACGCAAATAAATGTTTATAGCCAAAAAAGTAATTAATTTAAATTTTAAAAAATAACAAAAATAAACAATTATCAATCTGACAATGGTAAGTATTTCTCAAAACTAATATTAAGATTTTTTTTTTTGGTTTAATTTTTTTTATTCACACCTGTCATAGTGGTAAATAAAAAAAATAAAAAAATGAGCTCCTAGGAATGGGTCCCATTCCTCTCTGGAGATGTTCGTGAGACTATTCGAGCTGAAGATAACTGACTGCCTTCTCGCAACGGATTTAGACGGATAGGATTCTATTAGCCGGATGTAGTCTGTACGCCGCTTGCGTTCAATATCCAATCCTATTCCTTCTCCACGCTTCTCTTATTGATAAAGAAATAATAACAATATAAATATCCATAATGTTATTACATATAATTTAATGGGTCTATTAGTGGGATTTGAATTTTTTTTTTTTTTTAATATTGCTCAAAAGCCATATTTTCTCATACATGTGTCCACACAGGTAGATATTTATATAGATATTTGTATTATAGATATTGGAGATAGATATTTGTTCATAACTCTATATAGTAATTTATGCAAACACCACGTTTCTTCATTCTGTACTTATAAATAACTAATCACAAACATAGGGAAGAAAAAGAAAAAAATTCATATCCAATTTAGATGAAATATATTTGAAAAAATTATTATATTAATAAAAATCTGGTTCACGCAACACACAACTTTCACTTACCGCTGAACTTTAAATAGAAATTATTTTCTGGCCATGTTGGGCTATTATAAAATTTTTGAATTGCGTTTTTAACTAAGCTAAAGCTAAAATATTACTGCTAACAAAGCATAAATACGAACATATATTATTACAGTAAGGCTCGAAATCGGTTTTGTACCAAATATAAGCTCTTGTCATGCTCAAATAACATGAATGGGGTACCGATGGATTCAGAATTTCACGGAGGGTTAGCGAATCGTATTCTCCACTTTTAATTTTCTTTCTAAAATAAATAAAGTCGATACAAACATTTTGCTAGGCTTCGATACTGGGACGGTGGTACGTCTGTAGATCGATGCGGGACAAATTGTACCTTGAAGATTTTGATGCGTACAGCAAGACCCAGATAGTTTCCGTTTTTAAGCCCAATAACGTACTATTTTCGAGGTTATGCGAGGCATAGGTTTCGCATACACACAACCTTACATTAATTGTATTACTGTCATTGAATACATGTCTCATTTCGTCGACTTGAAGTCTCTATGATCGAGACAGGAGCAGTTTATATTATTTATTGATGGTGTTTTTGATCGGCAAGCCATATCATCCTCATTTTTTCACCAAATCTCAAGATTGAGCCACCGATTTCGAAGGCTT